GAAACAAAACTGAGAGAAGTGTTTTTGGCCGATGAACGGGGGCGTTTTCGAGAACTATTTTTGTAGATCTAGTCCCTGCGGCTTGTGTTTTTGAAAAACTATTCAGATTTTTATAAACAGGTCGTGTGGATCCGCGTGTTTTGTCATTTTTTTCTTTGATTGGCTTTTAATTTTGACCTCTAATTCATTTTTTATTTTAATTTAACCCTTATTATTTATATGTATATATGTATATATTTAATTATATTTTATTTATTTATTATAATTTTTTTTCATTTTTCTTTACGTTATATTATATTATTTTCCTATTATTATATATATTATATTATTATTTTTATCTATGTTTACTTATTTACTATGTTTTTTACTATATTTTCCTAACGTTATATATATATTCTTACTTTATTTTATTTTATATTTCTATGATTACTATTTTTAGTTAATATTATATGTATATATTATTTTCATTTATTTATTATTATTATTATTACTATTTAGTATTTTATTATATTATACATACATTTTTATATTTTTATATATATTTTTTATTATTTTATACTATTTATTTATTTTCATTTATTTTTAGTTTCTTTGCTCTTATTATTATTTTTCTTTTTTTTTTAAAACACTTTACCTTTTTTATTCTTTTGTATATATATTTTATCTTCATTTATTTTATTTTATTTTATTCAATTTCATTTTTTTATCCAATTATTTTATGTTTATTATTATTGGTTTTATTTATTTCCTTGGTTTACTCTTTAGTTTTGTTACTTTCTTTTATTATTATTATTTTCTTTTAAAATCTTATTTTTTTTAAGGGTATTTCTTTAAACTCATTAAGGGTAAGTAATTCGGATCAAATTTTACCTTTTTAATTTAACTTGCAATTTTCTTAATCAAAGACAACTGGAAATTACGTAGTACCGAAAAGACGGTTCAAGGGTGCTAATCCTTCCTTAACCGTAACCGACTCTCGAACCCGACACATCTTTGGAAAGACGTAGATCAGGTAAGAAATAGGGTATCCGATCAACCCATTGTTTTAAATAAATGATCGGTGGCGACTCCAATCCACATTTTTCAAGTCAAAGCCCAATTCTGGGGCCCAACCGAAAGACGGTTGCGACACTCTTAATAAATTCAAATCCAAGTATTTGGATGGTTATAGTGAAAATGACTTATTGAATTTACCGATAAATGAGGTTGAATATTTATTCTTAATGACTTCTTAGCCTAGAGTTTGGGTGGTTTATTTATAATGAACTTGAAGAAAGTCAACATACCCTTTGTGAGGATGAGCTATTATAAAAGCTCTTAATTATTTCATATCCCTTTTTATGGGTGGTTTATGTTGAGATAAACTTGATGAAATAACCTATGTAAGTGAGAAGGGTTAGCCGCCTTCTATGAAAAATGTTGGGCCATTTTTCTTACACACATACTAGAATCCTGAGGTAAAATGGCCAAATATATACTTTTGTATATATATATCTTACACATATATGACTTAGGTGGATGAAGTAGTTAGTTGTGTGTTATGAGTTTACCCCTATCTTAGAAAGTTCCAGACTAGTTTCACTTATCTAAGAGAAGGCATCACTATGTACTAGTTATAGATACGTTCACTAGTGCTTAAGCAACTAATCCCGCTATTGCTCTTTTGGAAAGTTTATTTTCGAGTTTCAGAAGAATTCTTTCGCATTAGTGGGGTAATGTTGGTAATGCTCAATCCCACATAGTGTTGGAAACACTATTGGGAATGGGTATTTATGGTTTGGATTTTCCACTTTCTTGTTGAGTGAAAGAGAACAAGGGGGACTCTCGTGCACTGCCGTCGCACCATCTGTCTCGGCTCGGCTCGACTCGTGGTCATGGTCGAGGACATGGTCGTGGTCGTGGTCGTGGTCGTGGTAATACGTGTCTTCGACACATCCGCACGGATATTATCTTTTTAGAGAAAATTCTTGAGGAATTTCTCTTTGAAAGAAACAAATGGAAAATGTGAAAGATTTCAACTGATATTTATAGGCTGCTGAGGACTATTTAAATTCAAATGATAACAGCTGATTTATGAATTTAAATAGTTTTTTCCTAAATTAAATAAAAAACGCTAAGATGTATATGGACTGATTTCCAGCTTTGTGCAGAGGAGACAAGCTGTTAATATCAGGAGTTACATGATTTAATTTCAGGAGTTACATGATATAATTTCAGGAGTTACATGATATAATTTCAGGAGTTATGACAGCTGAATAATGGTGCAATGAACCTAGACTATTTCTGAGTCAGGTTCATCTAGACGTTTCAACTGTACAAAGAATGATTTTAATCCTGATTTTTTATATGGACAATTTTAACTCTATTTCTAGCCTATAAATAGAGAGTTGAATTCAGCTACTCAACTCACTCTCAACATTTCAGAATTCACTCTCCAAGTGTTTTCTAAATATTCTCTCTGTGTGCTTTCCGATAAGAAGAGCAATACCACCAGCAGTCCACTCCAGTTTCGGGTTTACGGAATTTGGAGCGACCGTGTTAACCTCGGGGGATGGTCCGCCTACTGCAGCGATTACACACATCGGGGCGAATTCGTTTCTAAGGCAGTAGTTTTACTATGACACGATTTACGAATATGTTCCTTTTAAATCACTGTTTATATTTCCTGTCAGTGCTATCGGTGTGGTTTTGCAGTCCATATTTCCAACATGTATCATATCAGTAATAGTATACATCTTTCAGGGGGAAGTTATTGGTATTTTGTAATTGATGTGGGTTAATGGTACATTCCACGTGTTATTGGAATCCATTGATAAAAGAAATCCCGGATGGTGATTGGTTTTGCAACCTTTGCTTCGCTTTCAAATTAGAGGAAACTAAGAATGGTAAACCCTTTTCTTGTTGCTTATGTCCGACCAAAGTAGGTGTGATGAAGCCGAAGACTGTCGACGCTAAGTGGGCTCATTTGGTGTGTGCCCTTTTAGTTCCATAAGTGTTCTTTGAGGATCCTGAAGGGAGTTAGGTATTGATTGTTCTAGGGTTCGTGAGAAGAGATGGAGAGGCAAGTGTTATGTTTGTAAAACTAGGAAGGGGTGAGTTGGAGTTTCATGTCACATGTGGATTGAACGAACATCTTTGCATTGAATATAAAAAAGGGAAGAAGGGTGCTGTTGGCAGGGTTTTGCAAATCTAGTTATGGAAAAAAGGTGCATTCTTTTAAGCTTTCTACATAATTTGGGTGATATTTTTTGTTCTCATTCATGGTTATTGAAGTTGTGTTATGTTAAAAAATCAATATTGAATATCAAATGTGAACCTGTAAGCAATGGCTTGTTGAAATTGTGTTTTTGATTATGGGGATTTTCCTGTGTTTGCAGCAACAAAGTTCAAGATCGTCGCAAGAGATTAGCACAAGTAATCAAATATTTGTTGAAACTCCGATCATAGGGTTTGTATGAGTTTTATTTTTAACCTCTGTTGGTGGCTTCTTTAGATCATCAACCTCAGGAATTTAGGGTTTCCTCTTGTCTGGAACTGTTTTTTTTTTTTTTTTGTATGCCGTGCTCTCCATTGTTGAGTAGTTCAAGACACAGTAATTTTGTTCTTGTACTAACTTGGGTTTCCCCTTTTTCCAGCACAGTTGCTTATTCAGGAATATATTCACCATCTTTTTACCAGTAAAAATCTTCCCATTTTTAACTTTATATCTCAAATAAAATTAAAGAAATTTACACAATGTAATTAATAATTAAATAAAACTTAATCAATATCTCAATAACACCTTTTTTTCATAAGAGGGATGCTTCCTAGATTGAATCGTCCTCCATATCCATTGAAACTTCATTAGTAACAAATATAACTCAAATGATCCATAGCATGGAGTTGGAATTAAAGGTTTTGAGAAATTCTCGACTACTAGTGTTTTTGTTAAATGGTTGGCTAAAAATAATACCTTGACCACCATGGCCGCCAGGGTATCGGCATCTGCCATCATCTTGATCTTTGATCATATGATCAATTCCAACGATGCATAAAAATTCCACTTCTGAGAAAAAGAAACCGAACCCATATCATGTTAATTAGCATTCCATCTTTGTTTCTTACTGGTCCAAATTTCAAGATTTAGGCTTCTTTGGTGTGCTTGAATCCCCTGACTCAGCCTTGCGCTTGATTCCCAAGAAATGCTCAACCTATATAGAATTGGAATGGTAAACAAAAATTAACCAAACAAAATAACTTGAAAGTAGCAAAAGTTCAATTCTTTGAAACACTGAGGAAAGCTTGACACCAAATTTGAGAATTATCCCCAGAATCCCCCATTAATGAAGAGTCATAGATACATGACTGGTTTTCATGTATCTTGTAAGGCAATGGTCAAACATGTACAAGGGTAAGAATTAACTTTCCTTTCTATCACCAATCATAGGTGTCAAGCTTCCTGGAAAATCCTTCTCAACAGTAGCAAAGCCGCTTGTAGGGTCAATAGTTTGCCTGAAATTATCACACAAGAAATGAGGAACAATTGCAACCTATTGAAAATGTAATGAACAAGCACTTAAATCAGTAAATGATACAAAAATGCAGTGGTAAGCCGTATCAACAGTAGCATAAAATGGTAAAACAAGCTTCATTTCCTGCAAGAACAAGTCCGGTTGATTTCAGACTAATAGCCAAGAGGTTGCAAACCCAGAATGAAGGATATATTACCAATGGAGTGGACCAAGTTGATTTCAGATGCCAATATCACTATACTATGGGCAAGAAAGAAGAAACTAGAGATTACATCCTAATTCCGAGTAGCAGACAAGATATGTGAACTTGTTTCAGTTCTTGAACTAAAATTTAATTTGAACCCAAGAAGCAGCGATCACAAATTAACCCGAATGTGAGACATACCCTGGTTTGACATGACCACTAAGGACAAGGTAGGGTGTTTTCAGCTTAGCTTGAGCTTCCCTCATCCTCTCTACCGAAAGTGAAGGTGTATCTGAATTTCTCATTTGCTTCAGCTTCAATTATTCCTGATATTGCTTCATCCGTTTTTCTAGCTTAATTTTGCCTGGCCCCTTGCCATGAAATTTATGAGAAAGCATCCGGAAGGCTCCCTTCGGAGTCATCTGGAGAAGACAAGGTCGTAATTTGTAAGCCCAAATGCATAGATGATAAGACATATTATTTTTAAATATATCAATATTGGACTTGTTCTAGATCAAAAATTTTGATACCAAAAACAGTACACTTCAGCATGCTATTAGCTTAAAGCATTTCTAATCCTTGACAGTTTTTTTTTTCTGTTATTTGTCATTAATATAATAGATTATACTCCCAAGACATAGACTTAATAAAGAAATATAGATCAGATTGAAGTCCTTACAATTCGACCAAATTCATCTGTCCTTTCAATGCGAATATCTTTAAATCTATCATTTTGACGGTTTTCGTCTACATTGCCAACAAGTTTGCTCTTTTTCTTGTCCATGTTCCGGCCACCCCATTCAATAGTTTCTTTAAGTGTTCCTCGATCTTTAAGTAGCTTCAGTGCACCTGATAATCCTTTGCCAACTGCAACTTCATGAATGGTTTCATCTGGAACGATCTCATCCTTATCCTCACTTGCAGGCTTTTCATCAACATTAGTATCAGCTACTTCCGACCATCCACCCACCTCTTTTTCTGCATTTTTTCTATCTTGTTCAGAAGCTCCCGGCACTTCATCCTCATCCATGAAAACATCTTCACTATCAGGCTTATGAGCTTCTGAACACCAAACCAACATTAAACGTTATTACCAGAAAGAAATTATGAGCATAAAGATAAAATTCTTTTTATTATTATTGAAGAAGGGATCAAGTTGGTTGGTCTAAGCATGTGTAGCCAAAAGAGAAAAGATGGAGGTTCAAAAAATAAGATAAAAACTAAGACAAAAATGCATGAGTGGTGTAAAATCTAGAACCTAAAACTTCCATGAGACCACCCCAGCACAGAAAACTGTGAGCATAAAATACATAATCCAGATTTTTAGCAGATGATACAGCATCTGGCAGTACACAGACATACAAAAAGGGTGCTTATGTTTAGAATAAGATCATAGTGACCAAAATTTTGAAAGACAGCAAACCTTCATCAAGCTGAAGACCCAAACAAACTCCTCCATCTCTGTGATTACAACCTTGTTTTCTTGTGCCTCTCCAGTGGAGGTGTTTTGATATCTGTAGTTTGATTGCTGGTGGCTTTGCTAGCAAGAAGCGCAATAGCTTGTGGACCTGATTTTTCTTCTTGCTTTTTAAGAGCTAACCTCCTTGCTTTTTCAAGCGATGTATAAAGATCCTCTTCATCATCAGCGAAAATTTGATTTTCATCTTCCTCGTGTTTTACTATAAGAGTTTGTTCAAGCGTCAGTAGCTTGGATGCCTCATCTGCTTTGGCATATGCTGCTTGGTAAGCATTATTTCTCTTTTCAGCCTCAGATTTGGCCTCCTCCTCTTTAATTGCTCGTCTTCTAGAGTCATTTCTAGACCCAAGATCTCCAGCACCAAGCCCAGCAGAGATGGCTTCTGCTTCAAGGGCATCTATATCCAACTTCTCTTTCTTCCGCAAAGCTTTCTTCTTTTTGGGCTTTTTAAACCGAAGCATTTCCTCTAGGGTGTAATAATCTGATGAAATCTTCGCAGCATTATTAAAATCTTCAACGTGGTTATTAGTGGGAACTCCTTGCAACCTTTTACGGAGATGCCAAACGAATAAAACAAAAATAAAAGGAGGGAACATCAACAGCATAAAAATGTTAAAATATGTTTCTAACAGCTCAAAAAGACCATTAAAAATGACTTCTTCTAATTTCCTTTCATCCAGAGTTACTCCCTGGAAATAAATAATAAGTAAAAACAGTCACCAATGACCGAATACCACTTTTCTTCCAATAAAAATACAAGGAAACTTTGAAAGACGGGATTTTAATTGAAATTTGAAAAGGAAAAGAAAGATTAAGCTTGAGGCAAATCTTATAAACAAACCTCATCTGTGGCTGGATGTCATATTGTGGCAGTAATTTTTTCTCCGAACCAGGCTCATCATTGAACCTAGCTTAATAGAATTCATATTAAAGGTGTCAAAACCATTTTTCAATTAAAATAATTATTTATTGTTTTAAAAATAGTTATGATTTTAATTTATAAAAATTGATGATTTGAAATTAATTTGGATGAAAATGGAAAAGAGTCGACATCAACCTTTAGATTAGGTAGATTAAATACCTAAAAATATATTTTAAAAATAATTTTAAGAAAAATCATTTTTAAAACAAAAAATTGGTCTGCGTTTACCAAAGATTCGATTTGAAAGGATTCAGGAGTCAATTACGCGTGGGAAAGGATTAACACCCCCACAACGCCCAAACTTGGTACTTTGACGTTTACATGTTGTCGTAAATGGTGGAAATTAGAAATCAAAAATGAAATTAAAATATGATCCATTTATTAAGAATGAAATAATTTGCTTCGAATTAATTATTTAAAAGAAAATTCTTTAACTTGATAAAAAATCCTGAAATTTGCAATCCTCCGTTGGGAAAGCTATTTCAACTATTTTTCATCGTTAAAGAATATTTCATCCTCATTGATTTAAAAAATGAATCAAATAAAAATTAAAAATGAATAATACAGCCTATACTGTAAAAACAACACATTATAAAATACTGAAAATATAATACACCCAAACATTTAGGACAAAAATACAAATATCCAAAATTACATTCTCAAAATCGAAATAATTAAAGATATATAAATTACAGTGACCAAATTAAACACGCATAAAATATTATGGCTAAAGAAGAAATAATAGTCTTTGGTGAGGACCGAACATGTAAATAAACTAAAACAAATAATATTATAACAACAAATTGACTAAAATAAAACGTATGTAAAATAAAAGGATCAAACGTGATAATATCCCATTTCATTTAATGACTAAAATAAATAAATTACAAAAGCGAGGGACCTAGAGTGTTATTTACCCTTAACCAAAAAATACGAAGAAACCCCCTGTTGAAACTACGTCGTTTTATTTAGGGTATATAAGCCCAACGATCGGCTTTTCTCCTTTCACTCTTTCATTTGATTCATTTCAGAAAACGGGAAAAGAGAAAGAGAGTCTCTCAAAACTCTCCCAACATTCCCCATGTCAGGGAAAAAGGCTTCACCGCCGGTTACGTCCCACGACGGTGCACGGTGATCAGAGCAACCTTGAAATCCTCAACGAAATCCTCTCAACTCCATCCATAAGGATTTATCCTCCCTATAGCCTAAAACTCACCTTAGCACAATAGATCCAACATTTTACCTTTCGAAACACAAAGGGGACGGTAGCCTTCAAACTTCCAGCCTCCTTTAAACTGAGGTAAGAGTTCTCGTTTAATCGAGGTAAGGGTTCTCATTTTTATATTTTGATGGTTCACTTTGGTGTTGTGGTTTTTCTCTGTCTCTTTTTTCCCTAATGTTTCACCCTTTCATTTATAGCTTCTTTCGATTGCCGAATGATGAGATATGGTGGTAGTAGGGTTATCGAATGATGAGATATGGTGGTTGTAGGGTTTCTTGAATTATTCGGTAGGCAAGAAAACTGAATTTCCAGGATTTTATTTGATTTAAAAGTAGGTTTAGAGGATTTATATTTGAGTGGGATTTGGTTGATGTTTGACAGGTGGATGATGATGAGGACTGTCAGTGGTGGCTCGATGGTTTGGCAATGGCTCGTCAGTGGCTCGGTAGCGGCTTATACGCCAGTTGGAGGAACGCGTGCCTCACACGAACCGGTGGAATGTTTGGATTCTGCTTTTTGGCGACGCTGGAAAGAATTTAGGATTAAAACCTAATTTTGTTTGTGGGTCAGTTCGGTTCCTCTCTGGGTCGGGTCGGATCCTGTAAACAAGTCAGGCTGTTGGGTTGGTATCTGCTGGTGGTCTTCATTGATTTGAGCTGATGTAATATGGGTCTTGCATGTAGTTAGGCTTTAGGTTGTAATTTGGCTCCGGGTGAAGGCCTACACAATATGTAAATAAAGTAATAATAATAAAAATAAAAAATAATATTTTTTCGACCCGAACAAAATCGGGTGTTTACAGCTACCCCTCTTTTCACATTCTTATGTTAATAAGAATAGGGCAAAGACGAAAAAGACAACTAGTTTTTGTCTGATTTTTTTTTGTGGTTTTGGAAACTTAATAGTGTTTGATTTGCGGGATGACACTCCTCGTACGTGATGAAGAGGTATGGCCGTCTAAGGGTGAGACGACTCTTACGTGATGAGGAGATCTGGTCAGGGGATGACACTGCTCATATAGGATGAGTTTTGCTCATCTAAGGGTGATAACACGGTTCCTACGTGATGAGGACGGCTGGTTATCTGGGGTTTACACGGCTCCTACGAGACGAAGAGGTTTGGTCAGGGGATGACACTGCTCATATGCGATGAATCTTGGCCATCTAAAGGTGAGAACACTGCTCATACTATGATGAATCTTGGTTATCCACTGTTGATATGGCTCCTACGTGATGAGGAAATCTGGTCGGGGATGACACTGCTCATACTTTGATGAATCTTGGACATCTAAGGGTGATAACACTGATCATACTATGATGAATCTTGGTTATCCAAGGTTAACACAGTTCCTACGTAATGAGGAAATCTGGTCGGGAATGACACTGCTCATACTATGATGAATCTTGGCCATCTAAGGGTGATAACACGGTTCCTACGTGATGATGATGGATGGTTATCTAGGGTGACACTGCTTATATGCAATGAGTTTTAGTCAGGGAATTTTGGTTTCAAAAGAAACCGATTCAGAGATGATGCTTCAAAAGAAGTTGTCTCAAAAGAGACAAAAAAAAAATTCCAAAGAAACAAACTCAAAAATTCTTTATGTCTCAAATTAGACAAAATTTGTTTTAAAAGAAAATTTTCTTAAGAGAGATAACATTTTGTTTCGAGACAAACAACATCAAAGTATACTGATAGTCTGCTTGTTCCTGCTAGTGGATGAAATGCCTTCAGAAGATCTGATAGTTCGCATCAGGGTGTTAAATCCCCAAAGATACCCCAATATTCGATGTTGAATCTCCAAAGATGCCTCAACATTTGATGTTGAATCTTCAAAGTTTCCCTCATTGTTCCTCATCTATTGCTTCAGCACTGATTCTAAGCATGAACTTTGTGTCTGAGAGCTACATGTCAAATTCCAAGATCCACGCTAGAGAGATTGTCTTGTTTGAAAAGTGTTTTTCTTCTTCTTTTATTTTCAAGATCTGAAAATATCAATTAGAAGAGTTTTGAAAAATGTTTAATCAAAGATTTTGAAAATGTTACACCTTTCTAGGATTTACAACTAATACAAATCATAAAACTAGAGTTCATTAGATATTAAAGAATTAATTACATTGTTAATCCTTCAATAAATTATAGCTATTTGACAAGTGTCAAAATCAAAACTATCTTTGGAGTATGGTTAAGGAAATGATAAAAAAGTCTCAGGTTATTTTTGGCCAATGATTTGGCCTTCTTGTTTCTTTGGTGCTCACTAATTTGATGGGGTAGCTTGTATGCTCCTCTACTGGAAGTGTTCTCCGACTCCCGGCTCTCATGGTCACACTCGGGTTATGTGATTCCTTATTAAGGGAGTTGTGCGATTACCTCTTATGCAACAGATGCACAATTTTTATATTTGATCCGCCTTTTCAGGTTTTCAACTCGAATCCTCCTTTGGTTTCAAGACGTTATTCAGAATTTACATCTTGAACCCCCTTGTTATTTTTCTCTATCATACATTAAAGATTTTAGAAAACCTTTTGCAAGTAAAGATTAATCCTGATGTGCGGGATGAAATATGAAGATAGTATCTTCTTTTTAGAAATCCATGTATGATTAGAATGGACTTTTAAGGCACGTAATGTAGGCCATGGTTCATGGTTATGAAAGAAAAGGATAAGAGGCCCAAACATGTGTTTCAGGCTAATTGAACCAAGGATCAATTCATTTTGATGTCTTTGATTTTGTCTTGCTCAACTTGAATCTACTCATATGTCTTTCTCTTAATGCTCTATGATCTTCGAGTGAAGTGATTCTGGAATAATTGTGCTTGATCAATCTCATAGTTTGATGCTTGATGCACCATTTGACTTTAGGGAATCTTTGCATGTGCTTCTTGTCCCTTTTTCTTTGTTTATTTTCTATTTGCTTCTTTTCTTTTTGATTTTTGTTCTTTGCTTTTCTCTCTGTTTTGATTTGATCTTTGCACTTGGGATTTGGTTCACCTTTCAGTATCTCCTCTGATTTGATGTCTTCACTAATGTGAGCAGATTTCG